GGGATTTAGGGCCGGGTCGGAGGGGATTTAGGGCCGGGTCGGAGGGGATTTAGGGCCGGGTCGGAGAGCGTTCAGGGCAGGGTCGGAGCGGGTTCAGGGCTGATTTGAGGAGTTTCTTCACTCAGAGGGTTGTAGATCTGTGGAATTCCCTGCCCAGTGAAGCAGTTGAGGCTTCCTCGTTAAATGTTTCTTAAGGCAAAGATAGATTTTTAAACAGTGAAGGAACTAAAGGTTATGGTGAATGGGCAGGAAAGAGCACAATATTCAGTTGAGTGGATGTAAAACCATTTTCTCTCGTGGTTTCCCTTGGGGAAACCAAGGATGTAGGAAACATTGAAGAAAGGAGGAGGCCATTCAGCCCTTCGAGCCTGCTCCACCATTCAACATGATCATGGCTGATCGTCCAACTCAATAGCCTAATGCTGCTTTCTCCCCATAACCTTTGATCCCATTCCCCCAGGTGCTATATCTAGCCGCCTCTTGAATATATTCAATGTTTTGGCATCAACTGCTTCCACAGGCTCACCACTCTTTGGGTGAAGAAATGTCTCCTCATCTTCATCCTAAATGGTCTACCCCAAATCCTCACGCAGCCCACTATCGGGAACACCGTCCCTGCATCTACCCTGTCCAGTCCAGAGAGATGTGCAGACAGGGCAAAGTCTGTAAGTCAGCAGTATTTAGGACCGAGGTGGGGATCTTTAGAATTCTGCAGAGCTGTGGAATCTCAGTCTGTGGCCAGATCCCAGACAGAGGTCGATACATTTCTACATCTTAAAAGATATCCAGGGATGTGGGCCAAATTGCATTGATGTAGATGATTGACCTCGATCTTGAGTTGAGGAGGAATGTCAAGAACATTAAGACCATAGGAGCAAATGTAGGCCGTTCAGCCCATCTGCTGCACCGTTCAATGAGATGGGGATGATCCCCAACTCCATTTTCCTGCTTTTTCTCTCATAATTCTTGAATTCCGCCCCCTCTCCCCCCCGCCTACTGATTGAAAATATCTCTATCTCAGCCTTGAAAGCATTGAATGACCCAGCCTCGACGGTCCTCTGTGTGGTACAGAATTGCACACACTCACTCCCCTCTGACAGAAGAAATTCCTCCTCATGTCTGCCTTAAATGTGCGACCCCGCCCCCCACCTCCCCCCCCACTTGTTTTGAGACGATGCCCCTCTGGGTCCTAGACTGTCCCAAATGTGAATATCCACCCTGTCAAATCCCCTCGAGTTTCAAGAAAGTCACCTTTCATTCTTGTGAACTCCAACGAGTACGTGCCCGTTCAATTCAACGTCTCCTCATAAGAGTGTGCCACCGTACGCTGGATCGGCCAAACAAACCTCCCCTGGGTTGCGTCCAGTGCCGGCCTGTCTTCCCTGAGGGAACGACACTGGAAACTGTTGACGGTCGAAGCTGTTCTTCAGCCCAGGCAGCCTGTGAGTCTCTGGGATATTTTTCAGTGATTCGATGGAGCGCAGGGGGCTCTTCTATGTCGGTCACGGGTTTTAATATCAGCAATCTGGAGCCTGCAGTTCACACCGAGCCGCGGAATTGAATTCACTAAAAGCTTTGGTTGCCTTTCAATTCGGCTGACGCCAACAAAAGAGAAACGTCAAGCATGAGAGCAAGCAGGATTGTGTTTAAAACAAGACCCCAGAGCTGGGCAGGATAAACAGAATGCTTTTCTCCTTGTGAAGTCTGCATCATTCTGTCTGCAAAGGGTGTGGAACCACACTCACTTGTGACTTCCAACAGTGTGAGTTTGATAACTATACTTAAAGGAGAACAGGAGGAGGTCCCACGACATGCTTCTAGCATTTATTAGATCGGAGCGCATCTGTATCACTCCCCTTCCTACTTCCTTGCTTCTGTGGCTCCTCATCCTCTTGCTTATGAAACCATCCCTGAGTCTGGACCCCTCGCGGTCTCGGTCTCGCTTCCTGCGTCCTTCCACTCGTGCCGGGACATTCCTGTTAACTGCCTCTGCACCCTCCGCAGGGCTTGTCTGTCCTCCCCAGCAGCTGTTCCATATGCCCTGAAGTATGGTCCCTGGAACTGGGCGCATGGTCCCAGCTGGAACCCAATCCAGTGAGTTCTTGTAACCCCTCAGTCGGTGCACGGCCCTGCCATTCAGCCCCTCTGTAGCTGGCCTGACCCCTTGTTGTTGGAGGTGAGCCCCTTGCAAGCACTCGCCAACCCCCCTGCGCGCGCACACGCACCCCCCCCTTGAGCGCACGCATCATCCTCTCACACCCCGTCATGCGCGCACCCCTGCACACCTCACACACACCTCACCCACAAGCCCAATGCGCATGCACACCCTCACAGCACCCCTCTCGCCCACGCGCACCCATCTCACATGCACGCACCCCTTGTGCACACACACACCCCTCTCGCTCGCAGCCCTTGCGCACGTGCGCACCCCTCTTGTGCACGCATATCCCTCTTGTGCACATGCACGCGCGCACCATCCTCACACGCCCCCTCATTCGCGCACCCCTGCACACCCTACACAGACCATACCCACAAGCCCAATGCGCATGCACGCCCTCATGCAAACCCCCCCTTGTGCACACCGTCCTCACGTGCACCCCCCACACACCCAACACACACCTAACCCACACACCCCACCAATGCACGTGCACACCCTCACACACACCCCTCACATGCACAGCCCTTACATGCACCCCTCTCGCACTAACACCTCCCCCTCGCACACGCACAGCCCTTGCGCACGCAAATGCCCCTCTTGTGTGCAGCCCTCGCACACGCGCACATACGCACCCCTCTTACGCACACATATCCAGCTCAGAGTCTCCCCAGCTCAGTGTTTCCCTCACTTAACTAGCAGTGTCGTTCTCTACCCCCTCAGTCTCTATCTCCCTCTCGGTCTCTCTCTACCCCGCCCTCTCCCTCTCCGTCTCAGTCCTTCTCCCCCTCGGTCTTCCCCCCCCCCCCCCCCCCCCCCCCCCCCCCCCCCCCCCC